ATATCATATGTTTGCACGTATAGGAGGATTAGGAGGAACTTGACGGAGGAACAAGCGGGAGAAGAAGGGCGGAAATGGTGGGGGAAAGGGAGAGAGGCAAACCATGAGAGACTCTTGAATGCTGACAAAAACTGAGGACTGATGGATGTGGGGGGGAGGGGGGGATGGGCATGGAGGAGGGCACTTTGGGGATGAGCACTGAGTGTTATGTGGAAACTAATTTGACAATAAACTATTTGTAAAAAAAAAAAAAAAAAAGAATCAGTGAAAATTTTCTTAAAAAGAATACAGAAAGCACTAAATATACAAGGTAAGATTATTAAATTTGAATTCATCAAAATTTAAAACTTTTGGTTATTAAAAGAAACCATAAAGGAATGCCTGGGTGGCTCAGTGGGTTGAGCGTCTGACTTCAGCTCAGAGCCTTGAGCCTGCTTCGTATTCTGTGCGTCTCTCTCTCTCTGTCCCACCCTCACTTGCACTTTGTCTCTCTCTCTCAAAAATAAACATTTACATATTCAAAAAAGAAACCACAAAAGCCATTGAGTGGGAGAAAATATTTATAACACATATCTTACAGAAGACCCGTATCCAAAGTATGTAAAGAACTGATTTCAACAATTAAAAACAAAAACAAAACAGGGGAAAAAAACACATTTTTTTTAAAATGGGAAAAAATAAAGTCTGTTCTATTTATTTATTTTTATTTTTTATTTGAGCATAGTCGAGGCACAATGTATATTAATTTCAAATTATACAACATAGTGGTTCAACATAGTGGATAAAGTTTACACATTATCCTGTGCTCACCGCAAGTGTAGCTACTGTCTGTCACCATACACTACTACAATATCATTGACCTTATTCCTTAGCTGTGCCTTTTTTTTTCATGACTTAATCATTCCATAACTAGAAGCCTGTATCTGCCATTCCCTTCACCCACAATAAAGTCTTATTTTAAAAAGAAGAAAAGGACAAAAGGAAAGTCTAACAAAAAAGATACACATATATCTAATAAGTATATGAAAATGGGATCAACATCATTACTTGTCAGAAGACTATAAATTCAAATGGCAAGATAAAATTTTACATCAAGTAATAGCAACTTGAAAAAGATTGACAATAGTAAATTTTAGTGAATTTGCAGATCATCTGGAACTCTTCTATATTTCTAATTTGGGGGTAAAATGTTAAAACTCCTTTGTAAAACTGTTTGCCAGTTTCTTGAGCAGTGAAATATACATCTATCTTATGACCCAGCATTCTACTCCTAGTTGTTTATCGAGAAAAATGAAAACATATGTCCCTAGAAAGCCTTCTAAATAAATTCTCATACCAGCTTTATTCATAACTGTGAAAAACTGTATGCCCAGGTGTCTGTCAACAGGAGAATAAATAAACTGTGGAATGTTCATATTATGGAATATTACTTAGCAACAAAAGGAATGGACTTCTGAGTATTCAATAAATATTAAATCTCAAACACAAAATACTGCATAAAAGAAGCCAGGGACAAAAAATATATGTGGTGTATGATTCCGTTTATATGAAGTTCTAAAACAGGTAATAGAGACCAATCAATGATGATAAAGTACAGAACCGTGGTTGCTTCTGCAAGGGAGATTGACTGAGAGGGGCACAATGGAACTTTCTGAAATGATAGAACCATTCTATATCTTGATAGGATGTAAGTTACCGGTGTTATTTGTCAAATTTGATACAACTATTTGCTTACGTTCTGCACATTTCACTCTAGGTAAATTATACCTTGGTTAAAAAAATCATAAAGTAGGGCTGGAAAAAATAACAGAAAATGATTCTGATTATGAAAGATCATTGATGACCTTAGGCAGATAGTTTCTGGAACACATTAACAAAGCATTCTTTACCAGACCATGGCTTTAGTGAAAGCTGAGAAAACAAAGAACTTTGAGATAACAGGATGGATATTGTTAAAATGCTGATAGGCAGAAGAGAAGGTAAGGAGATTCTTTGGCACGAGATCTTGCCAAATTTGTCAAATAGCAGCATGGAATGGAAATAGAAGAGAGTGAAAGTCCCTCCCAAATTAACTGCCTGATGAACCGTTTTGATCTAAAGGAGAATTTATCAGCAGCAGAAGCTTCCTGACAGCCAGCGACACCAGTGTACCAGCTCTTATAATCTCAGGGTCAGAAATATTGATCATACATGTCTTGAGTAAGTCTGGGTTTTTCAAAGCCTAGCTTCGAAGAACAAAAGGATTTCTCTGGACCAATGGGATCATAACTCCAACCAAGGATTTCAGGGACAGTCCACCCTGACAGTAGTTCCACAGTATGGTTTGGCACTCTTGGTAAGCAGGTGAGATAAGAATTTAGGTACTTCAAGTCTTGGGTCATTCATGTGCCAGACACTCTGTCTGGTGTTCAGGATATAGCAAGAAATGACTATCTAGGAGCTTGTCATTTAGAGTGAGAGCAAAGTAGCTGGTTTACACACTGTGAGTTTAGAACTGGTAATCTCTGTAGGCCTAGGGAAGAATAGAGGTTGGGTCTGAAGGGAATGAGAGAAAATACATACATCGAAAGGAAGCCCAGGAGATTATGAAAAAAACATAGCTTTTCCTTCTATTTGTTTTCCTTTCTTGTCTCCATCAATTCCCAAGTCCCATCACCTCTCCAAGTCAGCATTATCCAGCACTGCCCATTCCACTGACAACTCATATTACGTTGTGATAAGACTCAGGCTTGGAGCTCTGAAGGAAGCCGCAGGGTGAAGACTCAGGTTAGCTATTCTTATGAGGAGCGGGACTGATGAGAGATAGGAGTCACACATTGAGAAAGGGGGCAAGGAGAAGAAATTATGATAACAATAGGTAGTAGCCTGACATACTTCCTTTCCCCCCTTCTCCTTTTCTACTGTTATTTTCCATACAATTCCAAGCTCCCTACGGTAAGGCATAACAGAAGCAGGTACTGGACAAAAAGAAGCACGAGTATGAGTCCACGGCAGAAACCTGAATATCAGTGGGGCCAAGCCTGGCCACGTGCCTCTTTGAGGGGCAGAGCTGGCAGTGAATGACAGGGTTGGTAGTGGGATTGATTGGCCAAGAGAAAGGCATGAGGTGAAGTAGTGGCAGAAAGAAAGGAGGTGTCATAGAAGCCATCACTAAGATAGTATCAGAAAAGCAAGCCCTTAGCTGGGGTGCGTCCATGACAGTGCATATATGTGCATGAAATATACGTACGTGGTGACTCTAACACAGCATTCATAAGATGGGGTATTCTTGTACAAGCAGCCAGCAATAAACGTTTTGATTATTTTCATTTTTCTCTTTTTACACGGAAAAGAACAGCTCTCAGCGACTGGCATTAGGTCACACAGCTTGGACATGGCTTGATATCTTTTAAAATAAGTCTATTTCTTTTGGGCTTAAGACTAAGCCAATGTTAATGGTTGCAGTTTCATATTCAGTAGGTTTTACCTAAAATTATTTGCAAATATTTTTTTTTAATTTAATGAAAATATACTTTCCAAGTGCTTTTTAACTTAGGCAAGGTCTCTCTCTCCCTCTTTTTCTCCCTCTCTCTCTTTCCCTTTCTATCTCCCCTTCCTCTAATAGCACCTTTTTTCATTATCATCTATAAATAACAAAGATTACACATATGTGTAATGGACAGCAGAAAGAAGGATCAATATTTTTTAACTCTATGGGGAAAATCTTACAATTATTTAGTCATATTTTCATGATTTTTAGTCTTAATTTACATTGATTACATGTACATTTCTGGGTGCTATCATGATCAGCATTTAGACCTACCACAGTATTGTGAGTTTCCTGAGGGCAAGAACTCTGCCTTCATCCCTTAATTCATCCTTCCATGCCCAGCACCTCATCACTCTTGAGTGGTGTTCTTGAAACTGACAATGCAAGATTTGCATTGAAAGATACGTTCCAAAGAAGAAAAGAATGATACCTGAAGGCAATAGGGAAATACAAATAAAAATGTCAGTGAGATACCACTAATATACCCTAGCTGTATCACTGGATAGATCAGGTACTTCTAGTATACCTATTAGAGGTGCTAATGTGAATAATTCTGGTGGTATCTAGAGCTGACAGGCAAGTATAGTACTCTCAGAGATGCTTCTGGGAACACGTAATGTAGAGCCATTCTGGAAAGTCATTGGCAGTTTCTTATAAATTTAAACATATACCGTATCACCTAGCAATCCTACACCTACATATTTACTTAAAAGAAATGAAAATTTGTATTCAAACAAAAACCTGTACATGAATGTTTATGGCAGCTTTATTCATAATAGCTAAAATGGAAATGACTCAAACATCTTTCATAAGTCATATGTCCATACAATGGAGTACTATTCAGCAGTAAAAAAGCAAATCACTGATACTTGCAAAAGCTTGGATAAATCTCCAAGCATTTTCTTAATGAAGGACCCAGTCTCAAAAAAGTACACATTACATCTTCCATTTGTGTGACAGTCTCAAAAAGACAAAATTGCATGACAGAAAATGGAGCAGTGATGGCCAGGGTTAGGTGAGGAGGAAGGTGTGATTACAAAAGGCAGTATGAGGTGAATTTTGGAGGTAACGGAACTACTCTGAATCCTGTTGTGTTGACAGATACACAAATATATACATGTGTTAAAATTCATAGAACTTTAAACCAAAAATAAAGGTCAATTTTCGTGTATGTTAATATAAAAATAATATTAGAATAACAAATTATAAAACATAAAACACTAAAGAAATGTAACACATTTGGGGCGCCTGGGTGGGTCAGTCAGTTAAGCACCCAATTTCGGCTCAGGTCATGATCTCTCGGTTTGTGAGTTCGAGCCCCAAATAGGGCTCTGTCCTGACAGCTCAGATCCTGGAATCTGCTTCAGATCCTGTTTCTCTCTCTCTGCTGCTCCTCCCCCACTCACACTCTGGCTCTCTCTCTCTCAAAAATAAATACACATTAAAAAACTTATAAAAGAAATGTAAAGCATTTGTAACTAGAACTGGAAATATAAACTAATAAACACATCCAACCAAACTTCAACCCCTGAGGGACTGCTCTCCACAGGAAGATCACAAATTGCATCTGTTTTGCTCATGGCAAACCTAGAAATGTGTCCTGATGTAAGTTTCCATTGTATCTGTCGATTGGTCTCTGTGTGTAGATGGCTCAGTAATGAGCACCAATTCTTATATACTTCTTTTTTAAGGTTTTATTTTATTTTTGGGAGAGAGAGATAGAGACAGAGCAGGAGCAGGGGAGAGGCAGAGAGAGAGGGAGACACAGAAACTGAAGCAGGTTTAAGACTCCAGGCTATCAGCACAAAGCCCGACGCAGGGCTTGAACCCATAAACCGTGAGATCATGACCTGAGCTGAAGTTGGACACTTAACTGACTGAGCCACCCAAACATCCTTCTTACATACTTCTAATGCCCCTGATAAAAAACCAAATCAAAGACAGGACTGGCATTACCCAACTGGCAATACCCGTATTTTATTTTCACTGTGGATAGCCATCTTGTGCAGGTCATGTGGCTTACAGGAATTGTTTTTTCTTTCTTCCTATGGATCTAGAGTCTAGATCGCAATGTCTGTATGAATTAATGTGTTTATCTTTGTGAACTGTGTGTGCATGAGCCTGTGCAGTGTCTGTGGTGTGTATAGATGCTCAAAATAACTAGATGAATCCATCATTCTGCACCTATAACCGCTTTGGGACATTTTTAAGAAGCTAAGACCCAAAGTGTCAAACCTGACACTGCACTATCTTGCTGTAGGAAGCCACTATTCTTACTCATCCACCCGCTGCCAACAAGGCGAAACTGCTGTATTCCAATTTCAGAAACGAACAATGTTCTTCTGGGGATACTGTGTCTTTGAGAATGCTAGGTAAAGGAAGAAGAATGAGTCATCAGACAACAATATCTTTGTGGGAGAGGTGTGGATATTCCCTTAAGAAGTGTCCGGGGACATTTGGGGGAAAGTTTGAAGGACAGGCCCTAGGGACCAGGGTCTGTCCACAAGGGCACACTTGGGAGAGGGTTCATTTTGATGTGTGTTCTCTCCTCTTGGAAAAGAGTTATCAGGCATCTTATAAGCCATATAGCTTTGTGTTTACATCCCTTGTGGGGATCTGTTTCCCTTGTGGATCTCAGCCCTTCACTGAGGTCTGAGAGGCCCTCCTACATTAGCGTTGTGTGGCAAGGGAAAACGGACATGAGAGTGGGCAGTGAGAGAATGTGTGTGCAGCTCCGCACGCCCCCTTGCACTATGCTCGAAGAGAAGGCATGCAGGATGGCAGTGGACCCATGGTCGTCAAGTAAGCGGCGGCCTTCAGCAGAACCGGAAGTGTGGTCACCTGTTAGTGACTACATCCGGGAGTAGACTTGAGGCACAACCCTTTTGTTGTTTAGAACTGCAGAGCAGCGTTTCTCAAGGGACATCTACAGACCTGGGGACTTATACCGTAATAAGTGGAGATTCCTAGGCCTTACTTCAGACATGCTGTGTCAGAACCTCTGCAGGTGCAACGGAAAAATCTGCATTTTAAAATCTGGCTCCCAGGCAATTCTCATGCAGCATAAATTCTGAGATGTTTGTCCTCAAGGTGAAAGTAAGGGCCACCTTTTCTCTCCTTTCTTCTTCCCTATTCTTTCTCTTCTTCCTTTTCCTCCTTCTCTTCCCCTCCTTCCTTTTTCTCTCCCACCTCATTTTTATTATAATTGTTATTCATATCGTTATCTTTACCCAAGGAACGACAGGGTAGGGATTTTTCTACAACAGACTAATTTACTTATGAACCAAAGGTCTAAAAAAAAACTATGAAAAGTAGTATTGCCTAGACCCTCCCGTCACCCTAGTTAGGGATGAAAAGTTGCTGTATTGCGTGCTTCAAGAAGAAAATACCGTTTCTATAATTAGGGGTGCTGCCTCCAGGGAGCAACCATGATGGAAGAATCATTTTATACAAAGTCTTCTAGAAAATTTCTCCCTTGGTGAAGAAGGTCCGCATTCGTTATGTGAACTCAATAAATGTATCTGTCAGCAAGAAGAGCAGTAATAATTCTGTTTACATGTGTTTTTATGTGCAGTCATTTTCAAAAATTAAGTTTCACGCCCTAAGTATATTGTTACAATACATGAATATTTCATAATCTGGAACGTTTCCCAAATGTTTTGGGTTAGTAACACCACGTTTTTGTTTTTTTTTTAACATTGTAAAATCCATCTTCACTCTTCTCTGAGTGACTTAGGTTATAAATTTCAAAAATATTCAGAGTAGTTGTACTATAGTGTTAAATTTGATGTTTTATAATTTTTAATGCTTAAAATGTACCCTTGGTCTTGGCAGGAAAAAAGTAATAAAAATTTGAAACAGTTGAACTTAGAGGGAAGAAAAGTGTATCTCTTCTGAATGTGCAGGAGTTTCTTAAGTCCATTTGAAATTGCTCCTTATATGCTACATCCACAAGAATGTGATTCATCCATTGTGTTCAGTTCTCTTAGAAACCAAGTGTATTAGAGAAGACTTTACAAAATCACTTTGGGAGAAATTACTTTTGATTTAAACTAGTATCTTTGTAGGTTTAAAGCCTGTTGGGTTAGAGAATATTAGCTTGGAAACATTTGTTTTATTTTAAAATTATACCCTGACATCTTATAACTTTGACATATTTATTGGCTACCTCCAACGTGCTCCACGAAAAGTATTCAGTGAGTGGATGATATTTTTTAGATAAATAAAAACACCTGCATATATTGAGTGCCAGGCACTTGGCATAAAATAACTCTTTATCATTACATCCTAACATTCTATTTATTCCCATTTTATAGATAGAAATATGGATAGTCAAAGAAGTTACAACTTGCCCAAGCTCCCATAACCAGGAAGGAAAAGAGCTGGATTTCAGGCTCAGGTCTGCAGATCCCAAATTCTTTATTTTTCCCAATGTGCCAATGACTTCTCAACAGCAGGTAAAACAATGCTGAAGTCTGGGTGCCTGGGTGCCTGGGTGGTTCAGTTGGTTAAGCATTGAACTCTTGATTCCTGTCATATCATGCCTCATGGTTTGAGAGATTGATTCTTGCATCAGGCTCCATGCTGAGCATAGAACCTGCTTGGAATTCTCTTTCTCCCTCTCTCTGCCCCTCCCCCACTCACACTTGCTCCCTCAAAGTAAATAAATAAACATTTAAACACAGTGCTAAAATCAATATGCTTGTTCCATTTCAAATTTGCTTAAATTCATCATTTTGAAACAGATTTCAAAGGTTTTAAGATAAATGAATATTATTTTATCACTACAATTGAGTAAATAATGCAAATATCATTTACTATAACCTATGAATATCACTCTAAAGAAAAAGTAAAGAATAGAAATGGATGAGTGGTCTCTTCTTTAGGCTTCCATAAGACCCTTTTAAGAAATAGCCTCCAACTGCAATACTATTTTATATTTTCTGAACTATAAGAATATAATATAAGGGGTTCCTGGGTGGTTCAGTCAGTTGAGCATCTGACTCATGATTTTGGCTCAGGTCAGGATCCCAGGGTCATGGGACTGAACTTCCCATCAGGCTCCATGCTGAGTGTGGAGCCTGCTTAAGATTCTCTCTTTTCCCTCTGCCCTTCTCCCCTACTTGAGTTCTCTCTCTTTTTCTCTAAAACAAAAAGTCAGTAAAAAAGAATACAATTTAATAATGTTTTTGAACTTAAGAATTTCACCATTAAAGTCATAACTCAGAGTAGAAGAACTAACTTGTAAGAGTATGACCTGTCTGACAGGCTATTGACAATTACCCTAACTCTGCCTTTTTGACATTTTTAAATGGTTTTATTAGTAATTATTGCAGTGTTATTTCTACTAACAAAAAATGAAAACTCTAGGAATAGTTTTGTTTAACATGTTTTTATCACATTTTTTATCATATGTTTTAACATTATTTT